TCTCAACAAAATATGGGCAAAAGGGAGGGGAGGAGGTTGCTGCTGGACAAGTTTTCCTAAGAAGGTGGTGAATCTCCATCCTGTCTCCTCCTAGTTGACAGGTGGAACTGGTAATTCTGAGCCCCAGGAAGGAATGGAGTCACACTATTAACAAGTCTGCTGTGCGAATCACCCGATGGAGGACAACTGCCAACCAACTAGAACACTTGCGAGTGAGAAATAAAATATTGTATGACATCACTGACCTCCAGGGGTAATTTGTTACAGCAGCTGACATTATACTGACTACTACACGCCCCGTCCTCTCTGGCCCCAGATATCCATGGAGCTTGAGCAGTAGTCAGGTCTGTGAAATGCACCTCTGATCCCCTGCTGTGATATTCAGGCTTTTCTGCAGCAAGTCTGTGCAGTGTCCCAGAGCCTCTGCGCTTGCCAGTTTAAGTGTATTAGTGGATTTCCCTCCATTCTTTATACAGTGTAAACTTGCCCCACATTCTGGGGAAGATTCTGGAAGCTTCTTCCATGCAGATAGCTGGAAGTCATTCAAGCTGACCCTGACAATTGTGTTTTGGTTTTCCACCACTGCTAAGCAGAACCTCATCCACGGGGTCCCTGTGGCCGCCCTGCAGGAGTCTATGTTTGCCTGGGACCTCTGTCTTATTTAGGGGGTTAGCGGGAGTGGGGCGTGCCCATTTTCTTGCTCCTTTCTTTTGACCTCACCTGGTTGGAGTTCACTTTCATGCCTGATCTTTAAACGGAGTTCCTCATTTTCAATCCACATCCAAGTGCTAATTACAAAGTCGAGCTAATCCCAACGAGCCCCTCTGGCTGGACTTGTGTTGGTGGGTGCTAGTTAAGGGATCCCACTTCCATCCTCCTTGCTTTTGACTTGGAAGGGGCCTAAGTCCCTTCATAAAGTGACTTCTTTTCTGCTGGTATAGTGGTTCATGCCTGTAATCCCAGGATTTAGGAGGCAGGAGGATAGCAAGTTTGAAGCCAGCCTAAGTGATACAGTGAGACCCTGTCTCAAAAAACCAAGGGCTGAGGGTGTAGCTCAGTGGTAGAATGCTTGCTTAGCATGTGCAAGGCCCTGGGTTCGATTCCAAGCACTGAAAAAGTAACCCTTTCTTATGGTGGTACTGGGTTTTGAACTCAGGGTCTCCCACTTGCTAAACAAGGGCTCTACCACTTGAACCACACCCTCAGCCCATTTTGCTCTTTAGTTTGTTTTTCAGCTAGGGTCTAGTGCTTTGGCCCTGGCTGGCCTCAGGCCAAGATTCTCCTACCTCTGCCTTCTGAGTATCTGGGGTTACAGGTCTGCACCACCATGCCTGGCCTACACAAACCCTTTTATTTTGCAGATTGACTGACATGGTTGATTCAAGTGCATGTGCATGCATGCACACACATACCTATCCCTTGTGGGTGGGTGGTGTGAATCTCTGAAGCTTTCTTGGGCCGGGGGTGTGCGAGAGAATCTACATACAGAGTGATATGTGGTTGCGTGTTCTAGCGGCGTGTCTCACTGTGTGTCCATGTGTGTCCCAGTTCCTGACCATGTGTCCCTGTGCCTGCAGGAGTATATTCCAGTGAGCCTCGGAGTAGCAATGGCATGTCCCCTGTGCATGTGTGGATATTTGGGCATATCCCGTGGATGTACAGGAGTGCTATCTCCTTCCCCCAAGGCCTTCTGAGCTCTCAGACAGTTTAACCTCAATGTTCCTGCGGTTTCTACCGCTTCTGTCCTCTTTCCAGATGGTGCAATTAAGTAAATGCTGCAATTAAGCATCCCACCAGGGTCCCCCCCCCGGAGCTAATGAGGGGTACGGCATGTGCCGAGCCACACTGCACAATCTAGGCACCCAGGGACTCCAGGCTGCACGTGCATGGCTGGAAGCTCAGGCAAGCTGCACACGGACAGCATGGAGTCCCTTTGCCACTGCTCATCTGTACTTCCTCTTCAAGTCTCAGCAGAATGGTCCCCTGTTCCAGAAAGCCTCCCAGACTCGGGGAGGGAGGAATTGGATTCTGCCTATGGGACACTGCACCCCTCTGCTTTCCCCCATCAGAGCCTGGACCAATCTGGCCTGTGCTTTGTCCTCACAGCTCTTTCATTTGTTTTTTTTTTTTTTTTTTTGGAGGTACTGGGGTTTGAACTCAGGGCCTCAGGCTTGCTAGGCAGACGCTTCACCATTTGAACCACTCCCCCAGCCCTTTTTGCGTTGCGTATTTTCGAGATAGTGTCTGGAGAACTATTTTTCTGGGGTGGCTTCAAACTGTGATCCTCCTGATCTCTGTCTCCCAAGTAGCTGTTTTTGTTTTTAGACAGGGCCTTGCTACATAGCCCAGGCTGGCCTCAAACTCTTAGTCCTCCTGCCTCTGCCTCCCAAGTAGCTGGGATTACAGGTACACACTACCACACTTGGCATCACAGCCCTTTTTTTTTTTTTTTGCTCTGTGTTTTTCCTTTTCCATCCCTGGCCACTCTGGGCTGTCTGGAATGTGAATTCAGTGAAGGCAGGACCTGGGCTATCTTGGTCAGCATGTTTACTACTGTGTCACCACAACCATCCCAGACATCCACAGTGAATGCTGAACTAATGACAGCATCTTTGCCTCTGCTTCTCTCTTTTTCTGTCACACACCTAGGCTGCTACATCCCCTCCACTCACAGGATGCTGCATTGGACAGTTCTGTGCACTGTGCAGATGCGCCTGGTTTAGTCCCATGTGTCCCAAAGTGTGGACCTGGATCAGCAGCACCACCTGGAAACTTGTTACAATGCAAATGTCTAGGTCTCTATTCAGACCCACTGAACCAGAAACTCTGGTTTGGGATTGGGAAGCAAGAGTGTTGGCACATGCCTCTAATCCCAACTACACAGATAGGGAGATTATGGTTCAAGGTCAGCCTGGGCAAATGTTATCAAGAATCCCATCTCAACAAACAAGCTGGGCATGGTGGATCATAACTGTAATCCTAGATACTTAGGAGGCAGAGATAGGAGGATCTAAGTCTCAGGACAGCTCCAGCAAAAGCACCTGACCCTATCTGAAAAACAAAACCAAAAGGACTGGGGGCATAGCTCAAGGTTCTGAACTCAATCGCCAGTACCACCAAAAACAAGTCCTCCAGGTGCTCCTGATGGGTTAACCCATGAGGAACACTGATGGAGCTCAGCCAGGCACCTTCTTGACTTTTCTACCTCAGATCTTGCATGGCTCTCACATGGCTCCTGGGACCATCCTTACCCCATAGGGACAGTCATTCCCCAAGAGGGTAAGCAGTGGGGGGTAAGCCCAGCCCCAGTGAACATTGTTGGAGGCAACCCTGATTGTTCTGCAAGGTTCATGTTCTCCGGCAGTCTTGAGTCCCAGTTACCCAGGGGTAGCCTTCTTCTTCTCAGTGACCCTATTAACGTTCTCTCTCATTCTTTCTCATTCCTCAATGCGCCCCACTCTTCCCTGTCCCTTGTGCTGGCTTCCACAATCAGCCAGTTTTGCTGAATTCTCCAGTCCTCCTCTCGGGATTGTCCCATGTCTGTCCCTCTGTCTCTGCCAAGTCTGCCACCTCTGCAATGTCTCTGAAGCTTCTGTGGCCTTTTTCTGAGTTTCCCTCTGACCAGTATCCACTGGGCTGGGCCAGGAGTGCTGATGAGGTTCGCTAATGAGCTGGAAAGGCAGGCCCCAGGGCCAAGTTCATTTTAGCTGCAATTTTTCAATGCACACAAGTAAAGGAGCCAAAATCTATTTTGAAGCCTTCAGCAGAGCTAGGAATGCCGGGGCTCCACCCCAAGGTTACTATACTCCACCACTCGTGTGGGATTTCCCCAGTGGTTTCCAGGACCATTCAGATTCCCCAGGGTAGGGCCATGTCCACCAGGCCACCGAGGACAAAACTGTGTCCCCTGTGGACTAAGGCTTCTGGAAGATCAGCAACTCAGGTCAGGGTTGGAGCCTATCACCCACACCCTCTTCCTGTGACACCATCTGCTAAGAGAGTGTGCAACACCCTCCTGTCCCCTCACATCACTCCTGGTGAGTCATGTGTTGGCACAATCCCAGGCAGGGTCGTCTGTGGGCAGTGGAGCTGAGTGGGTGGGAAGGAAGACAGGGACACACTTCTCTGAGCGCCCAGCCCCCTGCCCCACTTCCTGCCTTGCCTCTACTCCCCAGGACATCTGGTCAGTGTGTCTTGAAGCCCATCCCTAGTCCCAGAGGGCACAGTGACTAAAGCTTCCCCCCAGAGAAAGGAGCCTTGGGAAGGAGCCCCTCCTGCCTGAAACATCAGGCCTGTTGCTGGGCAGAGCCCAGGTACAGAGACTTCCCCTGTGCGAGGGACATCCCAGGGAGGTGGTGCTGAGATAGAGGGGCAGGAGACAGGTGTGGGGGGTCTAGGATGGAGGGCGACACTCAAGGTTATGAATGAGTCCTGGACAGGCATAGGCACACACAGCCATTCTCACAACCCCATATGCCTCAGTTGTATATACTGAGCCTGTGTGCGTGTGTTCACGACTCGGTCTTGTCCTTGCCTCTGGTCTATCTCTTTCTGAGTCTCTCACTATTTCCAAATCTCCTTGAATGTATCTCTCTCCCTCCCCCTCCTCCTTCCCCTCCCTCTCCATCTCTCGTTCCATTCCTGTCTCTCAACTTGAGCCTGCCCGTCTTTTGTCTCTGTCTCTGTCTCTTTGTCTCAGTTTCTCTGTATCCAGGGATTCTGGCTCCTAGCAGCGCCAGGGCGACTCCATGGGAGGTGGGGCCAGGGGCGCGCCTTTGACGGGCGGGTAGAGTGGGGAGGCGGGGAGCCGGGGGCTGCCTACGCCTTTAAGCGCGGGAGCGCGGGACCTGCGCCTTTAAGCGCGGGCACGCGCGCGGCCCTGGGTTCCCGGCGAGGAGGCCGCGGGAGCGCCCGGACCCGGTTCGCCTGCCCGGCCCCCGCCCCGGCCCCGGCGGGGGAGGGGTCTCTGCACGCGGCCCCTCCCCCTGCGCCCCGCCCGGGCCGCGGCGCCCCATCCCGCCTGTCCCGGTCGGTCGGTCTGTCAGTCTGTCCATCCGCACCCAGGCCTCGCCCCACCCGGGCCCGGGGGCTGCCCGGCTGCCCTCCTACCCAGCTGCCGCGGACCCCCTCTTTCTGGGCCGGACCCCGCCGCCGGCCAGAAGGCAAGCCGCACCGCTGTCGCCCCAGACCCTGGGCCAGCATCCCGACATCAGGGGTTTGCATCCCATGATTGGATGGAGAGATCCGGCAACCCGAGCCTGGAATCCTGATCTTGGACCAGTACCCCAAGATCCGACCGTGAAACCCTAAAACCTGGACCCTGAACCCCAGTATCTGGGGCTCCAATCCCAACATCAGTCCCTAGGACTCCCAAGATTTGGAAACTGAATTCCATGATTTGGAGTATGGACCCCAAGATTTGGAGCCAGAACCTCAGCATTTGGCATCTAAGCCCCCAAATCTGCAGCTGAACTCTGAATTCTCTGCTTGGCACCTCGAAATCTGGGACTGGATTCCCAAATCTGGCCCTCGGAACCCACTATTTGAGAACTGAACCGTGGGATTTAGGCCTCAGGTTCCAAGATCTGAATGAAGGGATTCCAGGGGGCCTTGAACCTGAATTTGGGCCTGAAGTCCTTGCTGCAGACCTGAATGCTGAAATCTGCAGCTAGAGACCTCCAAATCTGGACTCAGCATCCAATATTTGAACACAGAGCCCCAGTATCAAATTCCAGGACTGGACTTGGGACTCAGACTTTAACTTCCCTGTTTGGCTCTTTGGCATTGCAAGACTGGAGCTGAGAGACGTCGATTCTGAAAAACTCAAACTAGGGCCTGGGTCTCTAAGATTGAACCCAAGAGGCCCAATATTTGGGGGTCTGGGACCCCAAGTATCAAGGTCTGGAGACCACATCCACAGATTTGATTAGAGACACGACAGGCCCTCCCCAGAGGCCTTGGGGACAAGGAAAGTATGACCAGATGTCCCCTCCAGAGCCCTGACCTCTGACCCCCTTGGAGCCTGAGGACTCTGCTCCCTGGGGTGGCTTCCAGCTCAGGTAAGGCCACTGAGAGACCTCAGTGGTGGGGAGGACTTTGGGAGGAGTTTTGTGGCTGGGATGGAGGTAGGTTAGGGCCTGGTCCTCCTCCTCACTCTTTGGATTTCTCCTGGAAAATAGACACTCCCCCATGGGCGTGCCTCTAGCTCTCTAGACAGGTGGCCAGCCCTGCCTCCTCAGGCCCAGCTAATGGCATCTCCAGATGTCTGATGCCACTAACCCTCACTACCATCTCCATCCAACCTCTCTTGCTCACTGCTGCTTTCTGGTTCCTTTCCCTACCTCTTCTCTTAGTGACTTCTCTGTCCACCTTTCCTCTCTCTGACCCCTTGTCCACGGCTCCTCTCGATGGCTACCTTTGACATCTCTGTCCATCTTACCTCTCTCTAATCGTCTTCCACTAGCTTTTCCCTCCCTCCACCCCTGGCTCTGAGCCTGATCTGTGACTATCTCCAACAATGTTTGACATCTCTGTCTACCACTCTTTTCCCCACCACTCTGCCCATGTCTCCTCTCCAGCTTCCTCCGTCCACTCTCCCTCTCTCTGACCATCTTCTACCATTTCTCTTGCCCTCCTCCCATCCTGACCCTAACTCCCAGTCTACAAACATCTGACCATCTCTGGCCTTCCCTGGCTACTCTCCCCTCTGTACCTCTCTTGTTTGCTTGCTAATCTCTGATCTCTGATCATTTCTACCATCTCTGGCTGCCTTTCCTCCTTCTGATGACCTCTCCCCACTCTCCTTATCCAGACCAGCTGTCCTGGTCCCTGACTTACTCTGACATGCCTGTCCTATCTCCTCTGTCTGATCCCCTCACTGGCTTTTGACAGGTCTGACCACTTCTCTTTCTGACCATCTTTGACCAGCTCACCCTCATTGACCACCCCTGACCATCTCCTCTCTTTGCCCACTTCCCATCTTGCCTACCTCTACCTAACTCTCTTGTTTAGTCCTGTCTGACTACTTATGGTCATCTCTACCACCTGACCACCTCTTCTCTGTGGCCACGTCTAAAGCCCTCTGGCTTACATTTCACCCACCCTGACCAGCTTTCCTATTCTCTGCCCATCTGGGCCCATCCCTAGCCAGGGGCCTCTCCCTTCCCTCTGACCGTCTTTGTCCATTTCTGTTCCCTGGGTGCCTTCATGACAAATCTCTGTGTCTTTGAGCATCGTCTCTGGCTTTGGGTGTGTCTGACCCTCTCTGACCATGTTTGACCAGCTCTGTTGCTCTAAGAGTTTCTCTCCTGGTCTCAGGCCTCCCAATCCTCTATGGGGCCCCACTTCTGGCCTCAGCCAGCTCTAACGCCTCCCCTCTTCCCTGCAGGCCACCCTCGCCCGCGATGGCCGTCCTCCCATTGCTTCTTTGCCTGCTCCCGCTGGCCCCCGCCTCGTCTCCACCCCAGCCAGCCTCATCTAGCCCGTGTCCCCGCCGCTGCCGCTGCCAGACCCAGTCACTGCCCCTAAGCGTGCTGTGCCCAGGGGCAGGCCTCCTGTTCGTGCCACCCACTCTGGATCGCCGGGCCGCTGAGCTGCGCCTGGCAGACAACTTCATCGCAGCTGTCCGCCGCCGCGACCTGGCCAACATGACAGGCCTGCTGCATCTGAGTCTTTCTCGAAACACCATCCGCCACGTGGCAGCTGGCGCCTTTGCTGACCTCCGTGCCCTGCGTGCCCTGCACCTAGATGGTAACCGGCTGACCTCGCTGGGCGAGGGGCAGCTGCGCGGCCTGGTCAACTTGCGTCATCTCATCCTAAGCAACAACCAGCTGGCAGCCCTGGCGGCTGGCGCCTTGGACGACTGTGCTGAGACCCTGGAGGACCTCGATCTCTCCTACAACAACCTGGAGCAGCTGCCCTGGGAGGCCCTGGGCCGCCTGGGCAACGTCAATACATTGGGCCTCGACCACAACTTACTGGCTTCTGTCCCTGCTGGCGCCTTTTCCCGCCTGCACAAGCTGGCAAGGCTGGACATGACCTCCAATCGCCTGACCACCATCCCACCTGACCCACTCTTCTCCCGCCTGCCACTGCTTGCCCGGCCCCGGGGCTCCCCGGCCTCCGCCCTGGTGCTGGCCTTTGGTGGGAACCCCCTGCACTGCAACTGTGAGCTGGTGTGGCTGCGGCGCCTGGCTCGGGAGGATGACCTTGAGGCCTGCGCCTCACCACCAGCTCTGGGAGGCCGCTACTTCTGGGCTGTGGGTGAGGAGGAGTTCGTGTGCGAGCCACCTGTGGTGACACACCGCTCGCCGCCCCTGGCTGTGCCTGCAGGTCGGCCAGCTGCCCTACGCTGTCGGGCAGTAGGGGACCCAGAACCCCGAGTGCGTTGGGTGTCACCCCAGGGCCGGCTGCTGGGCAACTCGAGCCGTGCTCGTGCCTTCCCCAATGGGACACTGGAGCTGCTGGTCACCGAACCGGGTGATGGTGGCGTTTTCACGTGCATTGCAGCCAATGCAGCTGGCGAGGCCACAGCTGCTGTGGAGCTGACCGTGGGTCCCCCACCACCCCCCCAGCTAGCCAATAGCACCAGCTGTGATCCCCCGCGGGACGGGGATCCTGATGCCCTCACCCCGCCCTCCGCTGCCTCTGCCTCGGCCAAGGTGGCTGACACCGTGGCCCCTACTGATCGTGGTGTCCAAGTAACTGAGCATGGGGCCACAGCAGCTCTTGTCCAGTGGCCAGACCAGCGCCCCATTCCAGACATCAGGATGTACCAGATCCAGTACAACAGCTCGGCGGATGACATCCTCGTCTACAGGTGCAGGGGCCAGGCAGTGGGGTATTGGGTGCGGGAGTGAGGCAGGGGAGTATTGAGGGTATACCTGCAAATACCCCGTACTGAAGCACAGCTGAGAGATGACACTACAAGGTACACAAGAAATCACACAGCAAGGATATCTAGGACCAGCAGAAAGGGTAAAAGAAATCTGACAGCCATGGTAAAACGAAATCAAGACAGAAGGATAAAATAAATTAGACAACAAATGTTAAAATAAATCAGCCTACAGGGCTAACAATATCAACCAATAATGAAGAGAGAAATCAGACTGTGGAGGTAAAAAAAGAAATAAGACATCAAGAGCAAATGTTGACAGACGTAAATAGTCAGGCAGCAAGAGTAAGAACTAATGAGGCCAGAAGGGTGAAAGGTTAGCAGGGGTGTAGCTAAGTGGCAAAGCATTTATCCAGCATGTGTGAAGCCTTGGTTTCGATTCCCAGCACCATACATCCAAAACCAGTAAACAATGTGGGGAGTAAGGGGGTGGATCAAAACAAATTTCAGCAGTAAAGGTAAGAAAAGAAAAGCCAGGTTTTCCAGAAGGTGGCTTAATACAAGTTAGGCTACAGGAAAAAGAGCAAGATCAATCAGGAAGGTCCAGAAATGGCAGGAGAAATAGAAATGAAATGAGGTAGCCCTGTTAGAAATGAAATTAAAGGTTAAACCAAAGGCTAATAGGAAAATTGGGGGGAGGAAGTTAAGTAGACTAGCCTTCGGGTTCGTGCCATGTGAGCCCTGCATGTTTGGAGTTTTAATATGGTAGCATCAAATTTTTGATTTGCTAAAGCAAATCAAATCTAGGCCAGGTGTGGTGGTACACACTGATAATCCCAGCACTCAGGAGGCTGAGGCAGGAGGATTGAGAGTTTGAGGTCCGCCTAGGCTACATAGCAAGACCCTGTCTCATTAAACAAAAAACAAGAAGTAAGCAAAAACCTAGAGAGGCTCTACCCCTACGTGAATAAAAATACTCACTTTGCCATTCCTGGGAGCTCTTGGCTCTTCTGCGGTTGCAAACACAAAAGCTGGAGTTTACATACTCCAAGTGCTGGCTGAGACCGCTTCTCCCCTCAAGCTGGAGCACACGTGGTCAGAAGTGGTAGCTAATGATGACACCCCTCACCCAAGTCCAGCTTTGTATGGGAAGCTGTGGATAGCCCCCACCCAGGGCTGCAGTCCCCAAGGCCAGGGCTGGGTCTGCACCTTGGAAACCCAGAACCTAAACCCCATTCCCTCCTCTGGGGTCCCCACCTCTGGAGACCATCACTTAATTTTCTTTTCAATCCAGTCGCACTCCTTTTCTGAGATAACAATACTCAGTAGATTTCATGAAGGGCTCAACTTGGAAAATCACACAAGACCTGGCCACTTTGCCTGGTGGGAAAGGGGACAAATGCTCCCTTAGCTGTCACCTTACCACAGGCAAGCCCAGAGTTCCCTGAGCCTCTCTTATTAAAGCAGTTTAAGAATAAAGCAGATTTGAAAACAAGGTAAACCTCCAACCGGGTACCCTGCAACAAAAGGAAGTCTAGTGGGAGTGGTTGTAAGGATAAAAGAAAATGGGAAAGGTAGACATAAGCAGAAACCAGGCATAAAAACAGAGATAAAAGGGAAGTGACAGGGCTGGAAAGAAATAAGGCGACAGGGGGAAAAGGAAACCCACAGTGGTGATTCAGATGACAGAAGTCTCTGGAAAACAGACTAGTGAAGATGATAGGAAGGCAGTGGGGTAGGGGGAAATTCATTGGCAGGTTAGAAGGAAATCAGGCAATGAGTACAGGGAAATTGAGGGGTTACATTAGAGAACTCGGACCATACACTAGAGGAAAATCAGACAGAGCTGGGAAAGAAGTCAAATGGAATCCAGAGGGAAGTTGGGGGAGGGTCTGGAGGGAGACTAGAGGGAACCTGCCTAGGGGACTAGACAGAAAGGGAATTAGGTTAGGGGGAATCAGATTTAGAGCAAAATTGGGCATGGTGGTAATACACATTCGTAATCCCAGCTACTCCAGAGGCAGAGGTAGGAGGATCACCACCTAAGACTGGCTGGGGCAAAAGCACAGACCCTATTTCAAAAACAAACTAAAGCAAAAAGGGCTGGGGGCGTGGCCCAAGGGGTGGACAGCTTGCCTAGCAAGTGAGACTCTGAGTTCAAACTCTAGTACCATCAGGAAAAAAAAAAATGCCAGGCACTGGGGGGGCTCATTCCTGTAATTCTAGATATTCAGGAGGCAAAGATCAAGAGTATGGAAGTGCCCTGGGCAAATAGTTCACAAGAACCTATCTCAAAAATACCCAATACAAAAAATGGCTGGTGGAGTGGCTCAAGTGGTAGAGCACCTGCCTAGTAAGAGTTCAAGCCCAACACCAAAAAAAAAAAAAAAAACCTACCAAACTGGAGAGATGTGTGGCAGTGGGGCTGGGTGAACTTGGATGGTGGGACCAGAGTGAGATCAGGCAGAGAACTGGGATGGAACTGGGCAGGGAAGCCAGCCGAAAATCCAGCTGCAGGCTGGAGGGCAGCTGGGTGGTGGTGTAAGAGAGGAAGTAGGTGGTGAGATGTATGTGCATGAAACAGGAGTGGACGGCTGGACCCATGGGGGAGCAACTGGAGAATTTGAGTGGCAAGATAGGAGGAATTGGCTAAGGGACCAAGGGATCAAAGTGTCAGACCAAGGGAAATCGGGGTGCTGGTTAGAGGGAACTCAGTGGGCTAGACTGAAGCGAGGCAGCAGCTTGGAGTAGTCTTGGGTGGGCTCACCCCGAGACCTGACCCCAGCCCCCTGCCCTCCAGGATGATCCCGGCAGACAGCCGCTCCTTCCTGTTGACGGACCTGGCATCAGGCCGAACCTACGATCTGTGCGTGCTCGCGGTCTACGAGGACAGCGCCACCGGGCTGACGGCCACGCGGCCAGTGGGCTGCGCCCGCTTCTCCACCGAGCCTGCGCTGCGGCCGTGCGGAGCCCCGCACGCGCCCTTCCTGGGCGGCACCATGATCATCGCGCTGGGAGGCGTCATCGTGGCCTCGGTACTGGTCTTCATCTTCGTGCTGCTTATGCGTTACAAGGTGCACGGCGGCCAGCCCCCCGGCAAGGCCAAGGCCACTGCACCTGTCAGCAGTGTTTGCTCCCAGACCAATGGCGCTCTGGGCCCCACGCCCACTGCTCCCGCCCCTGAGCCCGCTGCGCCCAGAGCCCACACCGTGGTCCAGCTGGACTGCGAACCCTGGGGGCCCAGCCACGAACCTGCGGGACCCTAGCTGGGAGCCCACCTCTAACGGCTCCTCTGGCTCCAGGGACAGCAGGACCCGGACACCCTTCGGGACCTGGCCTCAGACTCACCAAATTGCTCTCGGTTTTTAAAACTCTGATGGGGAGGGTGTCGGGGCATCAGGGCACAACAAGAAAGTCCTATTTTTCTAAGCTTGGGCCTGGGCCCTTGCCCTCGTCTCTGTCTGTGGGATCTGGGGAATGGTACAGGAGTCTGGGGCACCTGGATACATCTGGGGAGAGACCCCCCCACCCCCAGTTCAGCCTGAGGTCCCTGGGAGGGGAGGAACTGAGTCAGCAGACATTCCTGGATGGGCATGCTCTGCACTGGGCAACTCTGCAGTGACCCACACAGAGCTGAGCCCTGCCCTAGGAAGACTTGAGGGCCCATGGGAGACAGTCATGGCTTCAGGCGAAGGTACCCTAGAGAGAGGGATGTGGTGATGAGGGAAGCCTAGAGGAGTGTATAGCCCAAGTGATGTGCCTGGCTCAGCCTGGGGTGTGGTCAGGGAGGACTTCCTGGAGGAGGAGATATGTGGTCTAGGAATGATATCTGAAGGAGATAATTGGGTAAAGAACAGAGGGAAAGCAGCTCCAAATGAGGGGCACGGCACAACAAGGGCTTAGTGAGTACTGGGTGTGCTGGGTAGAGGGAGGCAAGAGGGGGAGGAGCGCCCAGGACCTCCAGGTTGAGGAACTCAGATTCTGGCCTGATGGTGCTGGGGAGACATGGAGGATTCTGTATGGGGGAGGGATAGGGCCATCTCTGGGCTTTAAGAAGGTCTTGTAGTGCTGTTGATGAGTGTGAACCAGAAGAGAAGAGCGAACACGAAAACCTAGGAGAAAGCAGGGGAGGGCAGTAAGGACTAGCTTGGCCTTAGGCAGGCCTGGGGGAAAAAGAGTGGGTGACAGGAGCTGAGTTATGGAGCTGAGGGCCAATGAAGGAGGGAAGGAAGGGTCCAGAGTAAAGCCACAGGGACTGTCCTTCCACAGGATCAGGCAGGAGGGGCAGGTTGGGGGAAGATGCTATGACCAGTGTGGGTCTCAGTAGACATGGGGGACCCAGAGGATGTCCAGTGGGTGACACCCAGGAGGCCAAAGGACTCCTGGCCTGAGGCAGGAGCCAGGGACAGACATGAGGACTTGGCAGCAGAGTTGGCCTCTGGACTGGAGTCCCAAGTCCCCACCACTGGGACTTTCCATTCTTAAGGGGGAGACAGAAAAACCTACAGAGAACTCTAGGGAGAAAACCAAGTGACTCTGTTTAATATTGTAAAGGGTACAGTGACCCCAGCAAGAGCAGCTGGGGGGCTTGGGGTGGGACAGCTCACACTCAGCCTGTTAAAATAGCAGCTAGGAAAGTGGACAGGGAGTGAGGGCCTTGCAGTTCTGTGGCTAGAGCCTGGTTTGGGTCAACACTCAGCCCAGGTCTTTCCAGGTCTGATCCTCACTCTGTCTGTGCCCTGGGCCCTTTAGGCAACAGGCCTGACATTTGCAGGACCAAATGTCTCTTGTGCCAAGAGAGTGTCAGGCCTCACCAGAAACCCAGGAATGGTATTGAAAGCAAGAGGACAGGGTTTGAGGACAGGCCACAGCCTCCGGCCTGCAAACACCCTAAGCCTTACAGCAGCCTCTGCCTTGCAGACACCCAGAGCCAGGAAACAGGCTGAAGAAAACTGGGTCTCAGGACAAGCCTTTGCATCTGCTAGTCCCTGAACTTGGGGCTTCTCTGATAGCAGGTCCAGCAGGAAAGGTTGGGGACCTGGGTCCTGTCACCTGTCAACCATCTGAAGTGATGCTGGGGTGAGGGACAGGGTGACGTGTGCCCAAGGCTGGACTGGCCCTTCTTACAACCTGGTGCACATGACCACGTTCTGATGGGATGACAACCCTAGATTTTGCTGGGTTTTGTGTGACTCTTGGCCTTAGAAATGATACTCCCTTAGTCATGGGAACAACCTGAGTGCCAGGGACCTGGTCTGGCTCCCCAGCTTCCAGCAGCATCAAGAGGTTGTTACCCTTGGGTGGCTGAGGTCAGGTGAGGCTGAACCTAGGGAATGGGAGGTTTGGGTCCTGCCTAGCGCCAGCTACACAATACCAGTTGCTGCCATGAGGGGGGAGCCAGAGTGCACCATTCCTAAATCCTCCTTTTTAAATTTGAACAATCTACTGAGTGCCTACTGTGTGCAGTGCATTCAGTGCTGAACAAATGCAGGCACAGGTTCTGCCCTCACATAGATCACCATTTGGTAGGGTCACAAATGTGAAAGTCATCAGCCAGTGGAAAGCATCCACAGAGACAAGGGGGACCATAGAGTGAGATATATCAAACTGTGAGGCTCTGTGCTCAAGTATCTGATCCAAGAAGAGAGGCTGAGGACCAGGCATAGTGGTTAATGCCTATAAGCTCATCTACATAGGAGGCAGAGGTAGGAGGATCATGGTTTGAGGCAAAAGCATGAGACTATCTGAAGAGCAAACTGAAAAAGTAAAAGGACTAGGGACATGGGTCAAGTGCTAAAGAGCCCAGTGAGAGAAAGAAAGAGAGAGAGAGAGAGAGAGAGGAAGAAGGGGGAGAGAGCAAGATTTGAGACCCGGAGGACACCCAGGTTGGAGTTAACTAGCAAGGGATGGAAAGGCATGCCATGCACGTGGAACAGCATGAGCTGAGGGGTGCAAGGTAGGTAAAAGAAAGAGAAAGGCCAGGGGCTGGGTGGAGATAGGGTGGGGGAGCCATGTGGTGTTGTGGGCCAAGGGCAGATGCTGTAGGACCCCTAGGCTCCTGGGAAGAGTCTGGGTTTTATTCTAAGTATCATGAGAAGCCATTGAAGGGTTTAAACTACGAAGAGAATAGTGGCCCCTGATCTCAAGGAAATGCTAGGGAGGTAGGAGGATCACAGTTCAAGGCCGGCCAGGGCAAAGTTAGTGTGAGACCCTATCTGAAAGACAAACTTAAAAAAAGCAAAAGGGCTCGGGGTGTGACTCAAGTGGTAGAGTGCCTCACGAGCACAGGGTCCTAAGTACTAGAAAAAAAGTGAAAATTGACTTGTCCCACCATGGCCAACTACGGCCATCAATTTCCCAAGCCTAGAGAGTACTGTATTCACCACCCCTTCCTAGTCTGGCCTTGGTGAATGCCCTGCACCAGGTTTTGGAAGCATTTTCTGGAAGTGACTGGTCCTTACTGGCACCAAGACTCTGTGTGCCAACCTATGTGTCTGGGTGTGCTCAGTCTGGCACAGGCCCTGAGTGGCTGGAGCTACCCATGATGCCCTGCAGGCCTCTATGATGACAAGCTTCTGCAATTCTCACCTTTGGCTCCTAGGTGTGAGAATCCAAAACAGGGTGCTCCCAAAGAGGACAGTTATCTTCCAGGTGTAGCCTGGTGGTACCTGCTTGTAGTCCCAATTCTACTTGAACAAATAGTTACTCAGAAATGACAGGGAAAGTGGTCAGAGCTGGAATGAGAAAGTACAGGCAAGAATAATGGCTGTCAGCCTGTATTTGCAGAAGCCCGGGGAAGTTCTTTCACTGAGCTTGGGGTGGGTGATGCAGAGTCCAAAATTTCTGGAAGGAGGGGCCGCTTTGTGGCAGTGTGACCTGTGGAGTCACTCAGCTCCCATGTGTACAAGGTTTAATGACCTGCTGTCACCACTGTGAAATCCTTAATGAGTTTTGAACAAAGGGCCCGTCCATTTTCATTTTGCATTGGGCCCTGCAAATTATGCAGCCTGTCTGGCCTGCAGAAAATACTTAGAGGATATACAGAGAGCCCAAGACAAGTAAGGAAGAGAGAGGTCTGGCACATGGTAGATGGCTGGAGTTCTGTGTGGCTAGAGCACAGGTGGGTGAGGAGGTATGGTGACAGGTCACCTCCCCAGCTGCCAGGCCCAGGAGCCCCAGGGCACTGTGAAGTCAAAGAGGGTGATGAACAGTGGAGGGACAGTGTCAAGTTTGTGCTTTAGAAAGATTCATCTGGGCCAGGTGGGATGATGCATGCCTGTAATCTCAGCTACTCAGGAGGCAGAAGCAGGAGAATCATGAGTTCAAGGGCAGTCTGGGCAAAAGCATGACACCTGTCTCATAAAGTAACACTGAAAGGACTGGGGGTGTGGCTCAAGTGGTAAAGCACTTGCCAGTGAAGGCCTGAGTTCAAGCCCAAGTACTACAGGGGTGGGGGGAGTGAAAGAAAAGAAAGCTCCATCTGGCCACAGTGGAGGGGTGGGGAGGGAGGATGGCTATGACCAGGAACAAAGTGGAGGTCTGCTGCCTGCATGGGGGGCTAAGAGTGACCTTGACTTTGAGGGAGGGCTTAAAGAGGAGAGGTCAGCATTGCCAGGCTCAGGAAGAACCTTGAATGGTTGAGAACAGACACCTTGATGTGCCAGGGCACTGGCCAGGGATACCCTAAGCCCCAGGATGAATCAGGACTTTATTTTTCGCTTGAGAATTTTCACCAAGGATGGGGGGGCGGGCGGACACAGAAGGGGGCTTTACAGAATGTCACTGGTAAGTACCTGAGAATCTTTTCATATGAGAACTTACCTGGATAGACTAATGGAGGTGAATACAAAATTGACAAGAATTCAGAGTATAAAACGTGAGACTTCAAAGGACTTTATTCTGGATATATCCTGGCTTCCGCTCCCCTGGCGCACACTTCACTCTCCTCAGCCCTCTGGATACAGTTGCTGAGAGGAATTTCCTCTCAGCGACGTTCTGGTCCCTGAGCTGGGAACTGACCACTTCTCCCTTCTCTATTCACCTGCTTCTGGGGGATCTGCCCCCGGTGCCTCAGTTTCCCTCTCTGCATTTCTGTTCCCATGCCCGCCTTTCTCCTAAACCCAGACCTGGCTTACCGAGGCTCCCTCCTCCCAGGTCTGGTATCAGGACATCCCTCCTGCCTCCCCTTCCTCCCTTTTCTAGCCCCTCCTGGTCCAGAGCTGGCCTCTATTCTCTGGATCCCTACACAGGCCTCCCTCTAGGCTCCTGGGTCAGTCACTTCCTAAAGCCAAACCTGACCCTCCTTGGTATAGAAGCCACCATGGCTGTCCAGGGTTCATGAGACAGAGTCTGAGTTCCTCCGCCTAGCATCTTCCCCTTCCCCTAGAGTCATGTCTAGCTCAGGCTGGAAGGAAATCCTAACCATTCCCTGAAAGGC